CGGCGGCCGGCAGGGATCGCGTGGCACCGCCCCCACCGCAGCGGGAGCGCGGCCTGCCCGGCGTGACGTCACGTGATGTGACGTAACGCCGCGTGCCGTGACGTAACGCGGCGCGGGAAGCCGAGCTGCCCGGCTCACCCCGCCTGAAGCGGTCACTGCTGAGCACCGACGGGAGTCCGCCGAGCCCGCAGCGCTGCTCCCAGGGGTACGGCGTTATCTGCTCTGCTGGTCCCGTAACCGCAGGCGCCGGGCCAGAGGGAGAGCGGCTTGTGTGCCGTCCGTTAGAGGAGGGCTCGGAGCTGCTCGGAGCGCTGGAGCTCCTGCTCTGAAGGCAGGCTGAGGGAGCTGGGCTTCTGCAGCCGGGAGAAGAGAAGGCTTGCAGGGAGACCTCATTGTAGCCTTCCAGCACCCGAAGGGAGCTTACAAGCGGGAGGGGGACCGGCTTCTTACAGGGACACAGAGTGACAGGACAGTGGGGAATGGCTTTAAAATAGAAGAGGGGAGATTCAGGTCAGCTGTTAGGGAGAAATTCTGTATCAGAGGGCGGTGAGGCAGTGACCCAGAGCTGTGGGCGCCCATCCCTGGAGGTGCTCAAGGCCATGCGTGGGGCCCTGGGCAGCCTGAGCTGGGGGTGAGGGCAGCCAGCCCATGGCAGGGGGTGGGAGCTCTGTGGTCTTTAGAGCCCCTCCAACCTGAGCCCTTCTGTGATTCTGATTTTAAATAAAGGATGGTGCTAGCAAAGGTTTACTAAGCCTACCTAGGAGGCACCCGCTGATCTCAAGTGCTCCACTACAGCACAGGCACAGCCGTAAGTAGGTTAAGTCAGCCTCATGTTCCAAAAGAAATACCAGGCAAAGATGAATGGTTCTCAAAGAGACTACGACAAAGGCTGCAGGGAAAAACATTTTATTTCCAAGCAGATTACAAAGAGCAGAGAATATAAGAGTAAAATTAAATTAAAAAAATAGTTGAGTGCATCTCTTTAAAATGATTTGTAGTGTGAGTTACTCACGGGGCAAAGCTACTGGAGAGTTCTGAAGGTCACTTTGCAGGATGCCAATCACATGTGCTGTTTAGATCAGGGTCAACATGGGAGGGACAGACAAGACGTATTTTGCATATAGGCTGCACACTCATTATCAAGCAAGGCTCTGGGCTGCAACTGGACCCTGCCTTTCCAAGACATCCTCTCCACCTTGTTCTCTCCTGCAGCTCCCTCTTGAGATCTAGACACAGTTTATTGCTGCTGTAAGTGGATTCAATCTGCCTCCCCATCCCGATGAGCTCAAACAAGAACAGAGAAGCAGGCAAACTCGCTCCCATGCACGAGGTTATAGAGGGCATAAAGTGGCCACAGTGCTGAGAGCTGAGCTTCAGCCACACAACAGAAGGGGAGCGACAAGGAACACAGCAATCGCTGCACAGATTGGAGGCAGCATGCCTGTGAAACTTCTGGAAGAAAATTTAAGATGCTTGTTAGGGTAGGAAGATGCTCAACTTAGCACTGCCAGCAGTTGAGGAGGGTTGTTTCCTATGCATTGGCACGAGTGAGACAGAACAGGCTGAAACAGCTGGATAAGGTCCGTTCCCTGTAGTACTTGAGAGGAGCAGCTCCAGCAAGAAGATGGGAAGAAAAGTCCCATATAGGGTGGAAGACAGTTTATATCCCTCTTTAACAGTGATTTAAGAGCCCAAACACTAATTGCAAGTAAGTCACTATTAAAACTGGATGACAATGCAGTTCGGTTAGACTGTGCAGAGTCCATTAGCATCTAGCAGCACTCAGACCAGCAAGAAGATGAGCAACTGCAGTATCAGGAAGGCCTCCACTCCACCTGTGCTCAGAGAGCTCATTTCTGCCATTTCTGAAGCTGTTCTTATCACTGTGTGGGAGGCCTGAAGATGGCCTGAGTAGCCCTGATGCAGCAGAGAAAAAGACTTCATTTCTGCCCTAAGAGCAACAGTGCAGAAGTGGATTCTTACTTAGGGATCAGATTAAGTCTTTTTCATTGGCCCAAAGCAGGATCTACTTCAGACCTTGCCTGGTGTCTGAAACTAAGGAGATCTCTGAAGCAGCCATCAGCCAAGTGCCATTTTAGGCCACTCTTAGACCGTTCCTTTCACTCACCACTTGAGGCAAAGAACCTCTCTCTAGTCTGCTCTCTGCCGTTTCAGCCATTACCACTTAAATGAAATACTTGAAGTCTTGAAAGCAAATGAAAATCTAATGCTGCCACAGACAAGTGTGTAAGAGAGGCTACAGTGTTCTGTAAGAAAGCAACGCTATTAGTGTCAAGAGGTAGGACAATACACGAGTCTAATGTCAGCGTGAGGTGCCTCACAATAGTCAGTCATCCTCTGCCTTCTACAGTTCCTTTCATATCAGAGAGACAAGATGGGCATAATTCAAAACCAACAAGGCAGGGTCTTCTAGCTTGACTTCCTCAGCTTTAGTTATTTAAAGATCGATGCATTTTCAGCCTGTCTCAAACAAGACATAGGGCATGGAGAGTTCTCATTTAATATATACACGCATACAAGAGCTAGCAATTTGGCACTCTCAGAGCCTAGGTGGAATGCCCTTGAAGCAGCAAACAAGCTGGTTATAGGAAAGTGTTAAAAAGCTATTTTACATGTTTGACTGGGAACATCTCCCAGAACTCGGATAGCAACCCCAAGCCACAGCACTCTCCCGTGCTACTCTGTGCACGTCTTCCTATGAGCCCCTAAAAGGGAGCAGATCCTGTTCTTTACTATCAAAGAACGTAGTATTTATATTCTAGAAATACTGTACCTTTTAAACTAGCTCCAGAGAGCCAGACTAGAAGCCAGGCCCAGAGAAATAATCCTTAAGTCACAGTATATCGATTGTCTCTAAAAATAGGGAATGAATTAACACGGTGGACATTCTGATGAGATGGGACAGAACAGTACAGCAGCCCACTTCCCAGTCAGCAAGTTCATCTCATGTATGTCCAAACAATGAGAAGGTAATGGAAACACTTCAGTCTGTCAGAACACAGCCAATCACGAGGAGATCTCCAGAGCTAAGTATAGGCCAAGTTCCTCCACTCTTAGGCTGTATAGTCCAAGACCAAGGAGAACTCTTCTCTTACAAAGACTTTACATCACCATCCTGTGAAGGGCAGTAAGGAGAACACACTGTCTACTTTTTTTAGGTAATGTGGAATTTTGTTTCTCCTGAAACTTCAGCTGAATTATTTGTTCAGCCCTAACTTGAAATTGCCCTAATCTTTTAAGTTATTCCAGCTTCTGGCAATTTTTAGAGTAAGGTGACTTCCAAAGCCACTTAATGGAGTGGCTTGTACACTTAGCACCTGGCAGATGACTTGAATACCCACTGCATTTCTGATGGAGACGGAGAAAGCAGCAGGCTCACATGAGTGCAGGCATGCTGGAGCTAGTTTCACATGCAGTATTGCAGAGCACACACTGGGACTCGAGCACAAGCAGTCAGTCTGCAGTTCTCTCACATCACTGTGTCTCTCTTCTGAACATAGGGCAAGCTTCCCAGAAGAATGGGAAGTCTGCTCTGTGCAAGCCTGTGCAGCATCCTGAACAACAACCACCCCAACTGTTTGAAACAGTGGGAGCTGGTCCCTCACCACATCCTTAAATGCTTAAGTTAGGGCCAGTAACAACGGTATGGTAAAGGGATTATAGGCTTCTGACGGCTGAAATGGCACTAGCAGTCCTGACAGCTGCCCTACCAGGAGGCAGCTGCTGGCTCCCAAGGGCTGAATTCCACTGAAGGTGTAGCTGTCAACATGGCACACCACCCAGACACCATCTTCTCAACTCACCCACCGGGATGTGGACACCAACCCAATGTTATTTTCCCCTTGCATAACTCTGAGGTGGGAAACTAAGCTATAAGTCTATGTTAGAGTGCAGGTATCAGTAATAACAGTGAGTTGCTACCTCACCTCTCCGCGCTCACTTAAGCACAGAGTCCTGTACAGGGAACAAACTAATCATACCACCAATCCAAGCACATCTGCTTTCTCTGAACACTGTCAACATGAAGCATCAGAGGCTTGAAGTCTTGCTAGGCCCACACACCTCTACAAGGATCAAGAGCACAGAAGCAGACAACATTATTCCTATTCTCATCCTATGTGCAGATTTACACTGTGCGCAACCAACGGAGACGGCAAATCTTCCTTCTCAGTACAGACAAGTGTTGGCCAACAGAAGCTTCAAAAAAGTTGCTTGCCTGTAAACAAGTTCTTTTATTGTAATATATATATAAGTATATATCTATCTATGTATCTTGGAACAGGGAAGGGACATGAGATGGAAAAGCAGGGAAGACAAGTTCAAGAAACAGAGTCACCTCTCTGCATCCAAGAAGCTGGTGGCACAAATCACAAGCCTGGCTAGAGTGATCTCCCATTTCAAGCACAGTTGGCTATCCACTGGCTTCAAAAGAGCAGACTATTTGTTAATAATACAGAATACAGCGACTATTTAAGATGCAGGAAGGCAAGGCTACATGGTCGGGGTTTATGATCATGAATGATGCAGAAGCTACACAGCTGTGTTAAACTCTGAAAAAGCTGTTACACGGCAGGAGTAAGCCACAAGCTGCTCCCAGAAGGCCCTGGAAGGCCCTTTTCCCTCCGACACAGTTGGTATGGTGTGTTTGTAAAGGGGAGAGGGGGATTTGCCTAGGAGTGAAGCCTCACAGGCCAGCCACAGAACATTTAGGACAGACTGACAGCCTGATCTGGTCTCACAGATCCGTGTTCCTAGCCTGACACCAAGCTTCCATCAGCAAGCAGATAGCCAGGTTCTTTAACAGAATGTAATCCCCTTCTACCTTCCTCATTTGTCAGGGTGAAAGAAGTCCAGCAGACTCAAGCTGGAAAGCACAAACAGGGATGAAAACAACCAGTTTGCATACTGATCTTTGTTTAACGACCCCCCCACCCTCACAGCTCACTCTTCCCCAAATAAAGACACATTGTTCAATGGCATGTTGAAAAGACGTGCTCATCATTCTTAATAAACAACTAGAGTAAGAATACATAAGAGAAACAGGGTGGTATCTTTATATGATACACAAGTGTATGTTACAAGAATTCCATCAGGCACAGGAGCCTCAAGGTTTAAGGCCTCAGTATTAGGCCAAAAAAGAAGAGTGTGGTAAAGTTTGTACTTTTAACATCTAAAAATGTCACTTAAAGGTCTGAATAGAAATCATTGTTTTTTTTCTTTGTATAAATGACAATTGTAGTTCACTCTCTCCTCTTCCTTCCAAGATAACAGCAAATTAATGTCCAAGCACAAGAAAAGAAGATGCCTGCCTCTCTTCCACTGGCTGAGCAGGTCCATCCATCATTCTGTGCCCTCTAGGCTGCACGTGCTCCAAGGAGACAGAGGCCCCAGTCATCCAGGCCAATCCTGTAGTTCATATTTTCTACATCATAAAAAAAATCAGAGTCAACCAGCAGCTTTCCACAGCTCCCAGCTTGCAGGGGATATGCAGCCTCCAATGATTCCAACAGTTTGGTGTGTTGGGTAGGATACACAATGGGTAGGTTTCCTTTAGATTCTTTTAAAGAGAAGAAGCCTAAAAGGGCTTCATAGCTACACCAATAAAAAACCAAAAACTTAGGCATCTCCTTTAGTGTAAAAGTCTGTACAATTCTTTGCTTGTCCCTCCCCCGTCACCCCACCCCACCCCTTCTGAGCCAAGAAGGATGCCTTAGTGCATGGTGCTGGCATTAGCTACGGCAATAGCTTCCTGAATCTCTCGTATCACCAGGATCCGGGTGAGCATCTGCTCCATCTGCTCTCTGCTGATCGGCTGGATGGAATACCAGATAGGGCTGTTGGGGGCCACCACTGGCTCCGGAGTCAAGTAAAACGTGTCATTCCGGCCTTTCACACTCTGGGGGCTGCATGAGGAAGATCAGAAATAACCAGACTAACGGAATGTGCTAGGAGGGAGAGACCTCCCCCGTCCTCACAAATCCTGACAGTGAACATCTGGCTGAGGAGACACGAAGGCACTTGTTCTGTAGGTATGGAGTTACTCTTAGGGACAACGGTGGTCCCAAATGTTTAAGCCATGCCAAGGTTAAAAAGCCATGGCCGCAACTGCCAGTAAGTAATTTTTATTTCCCACTGGTAAGCATAACGAACACTTGCCTTAAAGATCAAAGTGAAGCAAAATTAGGATACCATTAAGAGGAACACATACTTTAGTTATCAGAATCGTAGTAATTTAGAGGCGAGTCCTTTGATGCTCCCTCCAATTTTTAGTCCTCATTTTTGTTCAGAAGCCAATCTGAATAGGGCCCTAATCTCAAGCAGCAGATGCTTCCAGTTCACTTGCTTGCAAGTCACAGGCAGAACAATGAGCTCATGCCAGTGCAACAAACCTTCGGAGCAAGTATGAGATTAAAAGCAGCCAGTTCACAAATTACAATTTGTCTCTTTAAATACCATAAAAAGTTCCACGTTAAGTTAGGTGACCATATAGCAAAATCCCACCCTCCCATAATCAATACCCTTCCCCATCTATGTAAATTTATGCAAATGCAGAATCTGTGCCAGGACTAAAATGCTGCCCCGAAAACTAGGCCAGCTACAAAATGCTGTACAACCCAGTCAGTGAAGACAAGCAGTGCTAGGCATGGAATGGAGGCTCTCACCATTTGAAGAGGTAGAAGTCATACAGCTTTATCGGACACCTCAGGGGGTTCTCTGGATTCTCAGTCTGCTCTGCATACATGTCATCTGTAACTAGAAACCAACCCCAAGAAGTCAGTCAGATATTCTGCATGAGAACAACAACAAACTGAGCAGTGCCACAGAGTGTCTGAAGCATTTGGTCACCATGCAGCAATCAGTCAGAGACAGGGCTGTTCCAGTACTCTATCACATGAAGAGCTTGCTTTAACCCAGACATACTGAACAATACCACCAGCCCATAAGCATTTCTCCACTTCTATCTGCACCCGACAGACAGACAATGTCTGAGCCAAATTCCAGGATCACGCTTTTAAGGCACCAGACCACAATTATGTAGTAATTCTACAGTTTTCTCTGAAAAAGAGAAGCCTTTCCAAAGAAGTTTCTCCCCCTGCTCTTAAACACTAACAGTTGCCCCCTTGTCCACAAAAACAGCACAAGCAAGTAATCCTCAGCTCCTGACCACCTCAGGTTAGGTTTGCCTCCAGAACATACTTATTATAAAAGGTACTATCTCTGTCAGAGGGAGCACACGTTTCATTCTCTTAGGCTGATAATAATTGATAGAACCTGGGGTTCTCACAGTCCCATCTGCAGATATTGCCATGTCTCTTCAAGCCCCAAAAGTAAACTGTTTCCAAAGAAAATTCTAGACACTACCTTTCTGGCCTGTCTGGTGTGCACCGTGAGCCTTCAGATAGCGGATACTCGTGCTTTTGTCCTTGGGATTGGAAGGGTTCTTCTTGGTCTGCCTCAATACCTTGGAGAAGGCCAGCTTCATGTGCTGGTCTACTGTCTTCAACAGGAAGTATCTGATCAGAAAAGAGAATAAGGGATACTCAGAGGATACAGCCTCTACAGCAACACAGGTATCTCCATTCATCATGAGCCAGTCGAAGCTCAAATCAACACTGAGATAAAGACTATTCCAGCAAAGCACGCAGAAGTTTAGTTTCCCCTCTGCTAGCTCCTTCCTTGTTGCACTGCATCTTCTTCTCCTGACGGAGTTGCAGGAAGGCCCTGTCTGCAACCATTTAAAATTCACAACCGTGCCTTCATCCAGCACAGCAGCTTCCCAACAACCCTGACAGTGAAGTTTTTATGCTGCAGAAGTCTCGCAGGCACCAGTACTTACTTTGTATTAAAAAACATCAGTGTAGTGAGCAAGGTGGAAGGGGAGTGAGCTCCCAGCTGCTTACACTCCCACAGCATCTCTTCCGTTACGTGACTGGAGAGGACATAACCTGTAACAATCAAAAATCAGCATCATGCCACGAGACAGTTCCAGCAGGAACAAAGGCAGCATTTTCTGGTCCATAAGTACAAAGATTTGTGTTCTCTAAGGGAAGGAGGACATTCTTAATGATGTCAAGATTAATTACACAGAAATAACTTTAATAGGCACAGTTAGGAAAACAACTGTATATATACGCATCAACCTCAAATTGCAGAGAATATACTCCTGCAGTATGTCTAGATATTCCAGTCAGACAGAAGTAAATACGTGCTTAAACAGCTCCTAATTAATGGCCCAACTCCAATGCAGATGCTCCTAATCCAATAATATGTGAGAGCAGGCAGGCCAGTGTAACAAGTCAGCTCTTGGCCCTGTGCACAGCCTCAGTCAGTACACAGCGCCAAGTGATGTATTTGGACACATGAGTAATCCTTTGATTCTCAGATTTTTTCCCCTTTGTGTAGAAGAGGAAATACTATACTCCAAATACACAGATAAACAGAAAAAACAGACAGCTCTATAAACTCCAGGGCTTGTGGAATGACAAAGCACAGATCAAACAGCCTGAGCAAAAACAAAAGGATTCCAAAACTCACACTGCTATGTAGCCACTTAGCCTGTAACATCAGCTGCCTATCTGAACACAAGCAATAGCTTCTTCACTGACTTCTAACCAGATCAAAGGCAGTGAAGTCACAATAAAACATTTCTGTGCTGTAAAAACATAATGCTTATTCTAGTTTTTGTACATAAAACCTGCCTTATCTCAAAGTGTCCTCTTACCCCTATCACCATCATCTTCTAAACACAGCGTGGAGATGAGCTGCTTTTGATTGGAGCAGCAGAGGCTCTATCTGTGCTTTTATTTAAAAAAAAAAAAAAAAAAAAAAAAAAACCAACAAACCCTACACTTAGTGGGTTTGGATATGGAAAGACCATATCCATCTGACTATATTGCAACATGATAGCGTTGCATTATCTCACAAAGCAAGATGTATTAGCACTTCAGCTGAGGAAACTCAACTGGGATCAAGGATCTCCAAGTAAGCCAACCTCATAAAAATCACAAAGTCTCCACTATCTGCTTTCTGATGGGTGACAAGGAATAGGCAAGCAGTCCTCAACTGGGCCTAGAGCCTATAGATGGAACAGTCTTTTACCTGATCAGCATGATCTGTCTTAGACATTTATTTCTTTTGAAAGGTTTTCTATTCACACTACACTCCTGCTGTAGCTTTCAGTTAAACATTCCAAACTCCAGAAAGCTTTTAAGTTCATAAAAGTTTTTACCAAGCGGGGAAACACGAGGCTGTACATCCTTGAGAACCTCATGCAGCCATTCAGTGAAGCGAATATAGTAGAGATCCGAGAAGATGTCATCTACTCGCCCATTTTCAAAGAGATACTGCAAAAGATTCACAACACAGTCCAGTACAGTGATAGCACGTTCCTCTCAAACAAGATGTTATCCTAAGAGCCCACACACCTGGTTACTCAAACGCTTCACAGCATAGCACTGAAGACTAACAGAAACCACCTAGTGAAGCGAGGACCGTTGCACCGAGAACAGATAATCTCAGTTACTATCAAGGGAAATACAAAGACAGGAAGGAGAGACAGCCAGCAAAGTTGGTTGGATTTCACCTCTTCTTTTAGATGTGACCATCGGGAATTAATTCACACGACTGTCCTGTGAACTCCGGGCTCTTTCAGGTAAGGAGGGAGATGCCAGTTCTCCTATCAGTTTAGTTCTGTTCCTGCAGCTCTTCCAGGAAGCGCACTGACATTACCAGTTTAACTTCCCACACCATAAAAAGCTAAATTTTTGCCTGCTAAAGCTTTAGTTAGATCAAGTCTTCATAGATTGCGCAAACATCATCCCTCTGCTCCTCCCTCCCCCCAAAAGACAAACTTAAAAGGATTTCTTACGCTCATTGTGACACCAAATGCATACTAACAATTCTTCATAAATCACTTCAGGAAAAAAAAGAAACACATTGCTGCTTATCAATTACATTTAGTCAGTGCATCTTTTTTTCCTTCTTACACTGAAGCAGCAAAGACCTTTTTGCTATGAAATCTTTGGGAAGCTCATTAGAAGCAAGTCTCCCTTTCTATAAAGGAGAATCCTCCCTATATATTCTGAAAACACACACAGCTCTGCTGCACACAGAACCGTCCTCCCCCTACCTTCTGAATACACAGGAAGATATAGTAGAGCACATCTGGATCATACGGTTCACCATCACCATTCCGTGCTTCTCGTGTCATTAAACATAGACCATAATTCAGCTCAGCCACAGCTGAAGATATGAGATCTTCCTGGAACCTCAGCAGCTGACGTCCTGGAAAACAAAACAAAGCCGTATTATTGAAGTCATAAAGCCATATTATTTCTGACCTTTCAGGAATGATTTCCCACATCTCCAGCTCTGCTGTCTATCTGGCAGTCCTAGTAGTACCACATTCTCCCAGTACAATAAAGAAAACCAAAATAAATCAAGACTCTAAGCTGTCAGATCTACCAAAAAGATAAGTGGGCAGGAATCCAAGAGGAAAACTGTGCCCTGCCAACTGCATGATGACTGCCTTCTTTTACCATGTACAATGAAACGCTGCCCTGCAGCAACAGGAAAACAGCAGCTCCACGACTGCTCCACCAGACTGGCTGGCACACGCAGCCATTTTGTTCGGCCACACATCACAGTCATCCAACATCCTTTTCTACAGCCACTAGACTAGTTGCTCAAGTCAGCTCAGCGCAGACCTGTAATATTTCCCTTGGAACACGTCCTTTGGCATTTGGATCATGCAGTAATTAGCACTGCGCTAAGTAAATTATTGTTTAAACTTAAAAATAATCACTGACAAAAAGGTGCTTTCCAAGAGGAACGGCGAACGGTTCCTATTTCAAGTAGAGATTAGGCAATGACCGAAAGAAAAGAAAGCTCTTGTCACGACACATACTTCCAATAGGTGCTAGCCTATTTTGGGCTTCTTTCTCCAGCTCTGCATTCTTGGTCTGTGCCCAGCTTTTCCACACTTCAAGCCCTTCTTCTGGCTTCAGAGAGTTTGGAAGTAGAAGTTCAGGTGAAGTCTGTGGCTGCTGCTGCTGTTCTACTTCAGCAACCTGAACAGTTTGAGCCTATGAAAGAAAATATTTCAGTTGTAGATACTTTTAAATACAACAGTCACACACAAAACAATTAACTGCAGTGCTACCTCTAGCCCCAGGACATCAGTCAACACCCACTCTGGTTTAGTCCAAGGCACGTAATCTTTGCTGTCTAACGTACTGCTCATGAAATAACATTTGCCTCTCCAAGTTTGTTTGTTTTTTTTAATGGACATATCTAAAATCCCTTCAGCAAATCCACACTACTTGCTGATTGATGCATTCAGAAGTCCTGCAGAACACCACAGGAGACCTAGCAGCCATGAGCAGTTCTTGTGGCAGTGTCACAAAGAAGCTAGATCACTGACAAGAAACTTCATGCAGCTGAAATCCCCTCAAAAACTGACTTCTGGCCTCTTCTCCAACAGCAAAATGAACTACTGATTTGCTTGACTTTACTCAACTTGCCATGCTGAGCCACCACAAAAGACCACCACCTCACTACAGCAAGATAGGCCCAATTGCTCCAGCACTATTAGAGTCCATGATGAAAACACTGTAGATGTCAGTAACACCTGTAATTTAATGTAACCAAAAACAAAACACTACCAAAAAAAAAGAAAGCCACCACCACCAGACAGGCGATGCCTGTAAGAGCCTCAGATTGGAGCTCTCAGACTGTCTACCTCTGATTTGTTGTGCTTCCGTTGCTGCTTTGTTTGCTTTTGCATCAGCTCACACCTGTTTGTGTATCAGCCCCTCCATCACCACAGCTGCAGAAGGAGACTATCACTGAAAGGCCTCAGCTTTTATGGAGGCAGATGGCAATAAAGTTGAAGCTGTCAATCAAACCTCTGTTGTAAAGAGAACAGGAGCCCAAGAGTGAGAACTGACACTCCCATCTCCTTAGGAGCCAGGATTTCGCTCCCACTCCCCCCCAGGTTGCTGCCCCATCAGCCTCCAAGCAAGAGAGCCCTCAGAGGCAGCCACCTCTGCCAGCCCCAGCTAGATGGGGGATCTGCTGCCCTGACCTCACAGCAGTCTCATCTGGTGTGAAGGCAACACACAGGCCAGAGTCACTGGAAGTTGCTTTTTAAATGACATTCTTTCAAAAACAGAACAAAATAGCTGTGGCTTGCCCCAGCTAAGTTGAGACTGACAGGGAGTACCACAGTGCCACAGCTGTGAGACAGACAACACCCAAAAGTGAGATGCTCATCTACAGCAGCTTTATCATCCTTCCCAGAGGAACAGCACATACCTTCCAGACTGCCTCCATGTTTAGGGGGTTATGCAGTACCCAGAGCTCCCAAGACTTTTAATAGGAATACTGTCTTGATACTCAAGTACTGTGGACCACTACATACAGGAATACAAGGCATTGGTAGAAGCTTTACAAGAAATCATTAGAGAAATTATGGAGTTTATACTTTGGAGAGGATTCTGTGAATGTACTCTCAAAAGACCCTTGAAATAAGCCCTCCTTCCCACACCCCAAGAAAAAACCTGTTCAGCAGAAAGGCAAGAAGTTCAGTCAACTTACTTTGAGTAATTGGAAGGAATAAAGTTATCTCTAATATACCAACACAGGGGAAAAAATAAGATACTGAAAGCTCTTTAAAAATCAACAAAACAAACAACAGACAACAACAAAAGAAAACAATGGGATGTATTACATGACCTACAGGCTGTAGGTTAAAGTAGAGCTTATAGAAGAGTGCACCCAGCAACTGACACTTCATCCAGAGATGTAGGGAACCCTTTTCATTGAAGACGTGCTGCAGCCCACCAGGGTTATGACTCGATTCAGAAACACAGATATGACAACCAAAAAGCAATCCTCCTTGTCCCACTGCTTACTGATGAAGTAGAGGGCACGTGTGTCTTTATAAAGCCAAAAGTGTTATTTATAAACTGGAAGGAATTTGTAACAACACTTGTGCTAGCAGACGTGGGTATTTTTGCTCTCATTCCATTCAGCAAGAACAGGCTCTGACACAGATCAATCTCTATGCATTCTGATTTAAAAAAAAAAAAACAAAACCACAAAACTACATTCATTTGCAGATGTAAGACAGGTCATTAATTGCCCTATTCATTTAAGCTCTAAAACTCAATTAAAAACCCTTTTAAAAAAGAAGATCAGCAATTTGGCTGCTGTGTTTGTCAGGACAAAGAGATAGTTACTTGCCATTGGTCACCCTGGCGTTCTTGCACACCAGGCATTTACTGGAAACAGGTTGGTGCTGCAGATGGGCACACCTGATCCACGAAGTCTGCTCTGACAACTGGCCAGATTTTGACATTTTACCTGGGCACTGGATCTGCTGGGAACTCCAAATGCTACACAATGCAAAGTAGCCACCACTAGGCCACTAGAGCATTGATGGGGCTGACTTCGTTGTTGTTGTCGTCTCAGTCTTTTCTTTGAACTGTTCCGGAAAAGACTACAGACCCTGTAATAACTGCCATGGGGAAGCCAGCAATATGCATTTACTTATTCATTTCTGTTACAGAGATTAATGCAGAACTTTCTTTTGGGAAGTTTTGTACTCTATGTACCATTATTAACATGTGGCAGTCCTACATCAGGAGACAAATGCTGCATGTCACACCCAGACCAGAGGAAGAGAGGCATCTCTGCTTCCTTGATACAAGCTGTCTGCTCACATTCCCTCTCCCCAGAACATTTGCAAGTCGTTAATTGAGGATCAAGACCCAAGCAAGTTAAACTTACTGAGCAAGTGACTTGTAGTTGCTGCTGCTGCTGCCCCTGCTCTTGGGGTGTGGGCTGCTGCTGTTGCTGCTGCGGGTCCCATATGTGCACTGTCTGTGCTGTGTTCTGGTACGTCCCGGCCACAGCCTGCACTGCCACTGGAATGTGGATGTTGCCATTCATGAACTGCGCTGGAAAGAGTGAATTAGCAAGAGTCTGCACCACTTCCTCATGAGAGTTCTTCACTACTGAAGTACTTCCCACCATCTTATCCTTGTCATCTTCCAGCTTCACTGTGGTCAGTGTCGTTGGGGAGCCACTGACATGGACAGCATTGTAGGCCTCCTGAGGGATGGCGATGTGGGTTATGTTTTGCTGCTGAAGGTCACCACGTGGCTGAGCAGAGTAAACAGGGATGGTCCAAGTCTCTCCCGTGGGGCTAGTAATGGTCCCAGTGGCACTGTACAGGTGGGCACTGTCCACTGTTAGCAAGTCTGGCCTTAGAGAGACATAACTTTGCTGCTGGCCCTGAGGAATGGCCAACACTGTGGCAACTGGCTGCCCTGAAATAGCATACGACACAGTAATAGGCATATCCACCTTGCGTTTCTTCACGGGCTGAAGGACGCTGGCGGTGCTGATCCTCCTCTCTCCCTCTCGTGGAGAGCCTTGCTGAGAAGGTGGAGGTGACAACGCCCCCACTGTCTGGATCTGGATCTGCTGACCACCAGTAATGGCCTGTCCTGCCACAAGCTGTGCCTGGATCTGCTGGTGCTGTATGTGCTCCTCCTGTATCTCCGCGGCCTGGATCTGCTGGGCGGTCTGCACGTGCTGCACTTGGATTTGAGCTGCCTGCAGCTGAGACGGGCTGGGGCTCTGAAGACACTGACTCTGTATTGTCTGGGACGCCTGCTGCTGCCCCTGGCCTTGGATCTGCACCTGGACCTGTATGGGCTGCTCGGAAGCTTGATGGACAGTGAGCTGCGGAGAGAGCTGCTGGGCGGAGACCTGCTGCGGTGACTGCTGGACCTGGACCTGAACCTGCAAGGACACCAAGCGGGCCGTTAGTGATGCTGAGCAGCAGCAGCCAGCAGCGGGGCCGCCGGCAGAGACGGCGCGTCACTGCAGGTCTGGCTGTGCTCCACGTCTTTTACATTCGGTTTTAATACACGGAGTTATGAACTGCTACTAAAGATCTCAGGAAAATTAAACCAGAGCTACTGCAGAAGTGCCCAGCTGACAGAAGCAGGGCAGGTGCTGTGCTTGCATGGCACTGCGTGAGCAGACAGAAAAACACGTGAGCTGCATCTCCATCCTCAAAGTGCTGCTGGCTCAAGCCAACAGATTGCAGCACTTTCGTCTTCAGAGCGACTTCCACTGCAAAGTGTTATTTCAGCACAGGCCTTGCTATAGAGAGATTTTTAGGTCAAACTCAATTTCAGAATTGTAATTTGTGCACCTTGACACAAGATGCACAGGTTTTTGCCTCATTCTTACTATGCCCTAAAGACCAATTTTACTGCTCCCACTGCCAGCCCCTAAATGGCTGCAGGAGCCTGGGACAGGCAGCAGGAAATGAGGGGAAGCTGAAAACAGCACTTGGGTCCTTCCAAACAGGGCAGAGAATTATTACTTTGAAACCAACTGTTAATTGTAGCACTACATAACCAGGTGTTAACACAGGAAACGGTGCAATTTTCAGCTAAATCGGTGTCTTGAGCTAAAGGACACCACTACAGCATTTGCTCTTCTCAACGTTACAAGTATTTATTTGGCAAGGATAATTAAAACCAGTTAACTTTTTATTATTTACTTATTCCATTTAATTCCATTTATTGCCCAAGCCACTCAGCCGTATTTTCTATCTCATGCATTTAACTCAATGCTGAACACCATGGACAAAATACATGAGTACTTAAACTAAAACAAACTGTTTGAACTCCAAGGGAAATAAATATTCCTATGCCCAACCCAGCTGATGTCCTCACTCCCAGGACACTAAGAGATGTCTGCTCTCCTCCCCAAACAATTTGCTGCATTTGCCCTGTTCTCAGAAGTAGCATCCCAGCCTTCCACCATCACCAGCTTCCCCAGGCTTCCTTAAAGCTTGATCTTGAAGGGGGCATTAATCACTCAGCTTTTCCTTGCAAAAAAAAAAAAAAGAGCTTTAGCGGCACCTACAAGAGCCACGTAATGTTTGAACCCAGCACTGATCTATTTAGTCATAAAACTGTGTCTCCCTGCTCACATTCCCTCAGCCTTTTCCATCTCACTTATCAAAGCCAGACAAGTAAAGGTAACATCTAAACAGACTCTACGCTCAGGTTTATGCTGCAGTTATACAAAATCTCCACCCCACTTCCTACAGTCACCTCTAAATGTCTTCAAAAAAAAAAACAAAAACACAACAACCCCAACATTAAGGACTCATTTGCAGCCAATTAAGAATTGCTAAGCAGTAAATGGGGTTTCAAAATACACCATCTGCAAACCAATTGTTTAAGCCACCTCCTGTTAGCAACTCATTCTGTTCCTGGGAAGAACAGTGAATTTTAGAGGCTCCTGCTGACAGCTGTATGCAGTATACTGTGATCCAAACGATGTGGACTTTATATAATTTCCTGCAAGGTAACAAGACACATACGACCTTGCACCAGCATGGCAGCTTAAGAAGCTGCATCAGCGAGTGATTTGCTCAGGAGTTAATTGAAAAAGATGAAGTCACCCACGGGACAGCTCTTCAGTTCCACCTGATACGCAGACCATGCTGGCCCACACTACCAGCAGTGCCCAGCAAGCAGGCCCAAGCACAGGTCCCTACCCTGACTTCAGTTTAAGAAAGTCGACTGCAATTATACCTCTAAGGCAATTATTCCCCAAAATAACACTAATCACTACTAATAGTAATCATTACTGTAGCCTTTAATACCAATACAAGCCCTTGTTCAAAACACTACCTGCAAGGAGAGGCACAAGATGGGTCGATCTCAAATGCGTTATCACACCGCAGATTTTCAGTGAGAAACACTTGCTTTGTCTCCTGGCATTTAGAATCATGTCTGGAAGAAGTGTGTCATTGATGCTGTACTTCTGCAGTGCATTGTAAGAATAGGCACACGTTGACTGAGAATACCTCACAAGTTCCCCCACCTTCACTATATACACAATTTTACATTAGAGTTTGTCACCCTCTTCTCTTTGCATGTATGAAATCAGCATTTCTGTTATTAGTGGAAAGACTTGAAAGCTTACTCCTGCAAGGAGACAATTTCAGTGTTAAGTGCAGTTAGGCTGTGAAATGGGCTTAACCAAGAGGCACAGCCTAAGATCAGTACTTCCTTCTCTCTGCTTTTACAGCCTAAGCTCACATCTCTAAAAGCCATGGGCAGCTTCCCTTTCAGAGGTGAGGTTTTTGGTTTGTTTTTTTTTTTTTTTTTTTAATTATTATTATTTTTAAACATCCAGAGAATAAGCCCAGACCCAAATATGTTGCAAAAGTCAGACTCCAGAACCACTGCAAGTCCTTCATACGGCCAACTGTTGACATCACATTCCCGAGTAGAGGTTGCTCCTATTTAAAGGAATATTGAAGCCCTACCTACTACACATTACACATCCCTTGTGAATTACATATCTATTTTTATCAACCATATTTTGCAGCAACTCCCTCTCCATTTTCAAGTAGCTTGCACCCAGGAGTGCTACAAGCCTCCACTTCAGAATTAAGGACTTAACTCGTTTGAGACAAAAGGACAAAGAATTAAACAGCATCAGTGGTTGACTTTCTAAAATACTCTGTACAGAAAGAAGTGTTTTAAACGTGCAAAGACCAACACAGACAGCAATGTGCCGCACCAAGGTGAAGGAAGAACGTTATGCTGGGAATGCCTGGATTGCACTGGTGCAATAGAATAACACAGCAAGTCACAATACCAGAAGGCTGCATATTGTCATAAGTTTGGATGCAACAGCATGAAAACAATCACTTCCCAGCAGGCTGCAATTAGAGAGAAATGCATTTTTACCATAAAATAGCTAGAAGTTGGGCCAAATACTCGCAGACTAGAGAAGCAAAAGCGTTAGATGCCTGCCCTGTCTTGTAATAGCAGGGTAAAACCAAGCTTAAATCCCATGAAGGGGGAACCTTGTGCCATTTTAAGGACAAATGAAAAAAGGCACACACATTTTGTCTGAACTGAGCACATACGAAGACAAGATCAGTAGCCACTCAGTAACACTGAGCCAAAACAAGACTACAGCTTACGCCTTAGTTTCATTCTGAAGGTGATCCCAAAAATTAGGCTCAAAGCCCAGGACAGGTGAGAGGGGACAAGCAGCAAACACACTGCAGAAGTACACTCCAAAACCCAGCAAGAGCAACGCAGGTGCACCCTAACATCCACACCTGAGCAAACTAATGGAAATAATCCACCTGGTCAAAACCACTGACAAGCAGAATTGCAGTTTCCTGACTATTCTTAGCCCCATTTAAGGCTTAAAATGCACTTCCCTCAAAACCAGTGACTCCAGCACTTAGAACCAACTCGGTAATGAAGGGCTCCTTCTAACATTAGGTCAGAAGGTACCTACAGCATACAGACAAGTACAAAACAGGTGAAAAGGCTGATCACTGAAGTAGCAGGAAATGGTGAACGTGTTATTCAACTGCCTTACAGGAAGTCCTTTGCTACCTATCAAAGTAAACAACGTCTACAGGGAACATACAAGTCAACTTTTCAGAACGACTACCAGACGCTCAGTCCAGGTTTTTTCCTCTGCTCATTCATCATCACTGAGACAATGCCACAGACCACAGAGGTATTTTGCATGTTTCAACAGTTACCATATCAAGATTATGTTGTCAAGCTGCACTCTGAGGCAGGATTTAGATCTAAATCAGAACACATGAAGCAAAGAAAACAGCTTCCCTTTCCTGCAGAGGTGCCTATTTCCAAATACAAGAAAGAGCTATCTTTAAAACACCACTCTCTATTACAGCCATTCTTTGAAGTGGCACAGTCCACCCTAGCAAATGTTAATTAATACTAGCTGCTACACTGATATCTCTTATTAGAATGTTTTTCAATGATAAGCAAACAAGAGCCCTAGCTCGTGTTAGAAGAACAGGCTGAACCCAGAACCAAGACAGAGACAAGGGGACAGCCATCTCCACCTGAAGTGAAGGAAAGGTCCGTCCCCTGCAGAGCCAAGGATAAGATCTTCTGAGCTACTGAAGCTCACCTTTTCCTGCTTTATGTTACAAACAACACCTACACTGGTCTGAAGTCAGAGAACAGATCAGAGGAAGCCTAAGCAGTAAGAAATGAACACATTTCACATTCCCAAGGAACTGGGGAATTAGAAGGACAGAAGCCTTCACAGTTTATGCAGTCATTTAACCATTCCCTATATAGTTCAGCAATCTAGCTCACCTGTACCATCTTCACCTCATCCCCAGCCCAAGGAGCTCCTACAACCTTGCCATCAGACTGTCCTAAGAAAGGTGAGAACGGATGAACTTCCCTGCACAGATACTGACTCTTCACTGATATCCTTCCAGCTACATCTTGCAGGTGAATATGAGAAATGAAAGGAGGAAGGGTTTCACTACTGCACAAGTAGTGTTCTTTAAGGAAGTCAGTGTTAACACCTCTTCTTGCTGGTGTCATCAGTTCTGTGCCCTCAATGGCCAAAACCAGCTAGCAGAATCTCAGAGGCCAAGCTGATAAAACTCTTACTTGACTAGAGCAAAACACAGCCTTTCTCACCCAGCCCAACACTGCACATGATCTGACAGCTTGACATGCTAAACCACTTATTAAGATATAACGTCATCGCTGTGATACTGAGCATGGAAGGAGCTCCAGGACACTTGCACTGGAGCACCAACTACTACATAACCTAACTGAACAGTTGCATCTACTTTGAAATAAATGTTAGGCAACAGTTTGTTGAATCTTTTAGGCAAGAAAACCCTAAGGTGGCAACTTTTCCTTCAAAACAGGAAGCATGCTTTGCCAGAACAAATAAAAGCAGCAGCAGTCACGCTCTGTCTTTGTCTTCAGCAATGAAGACAGAGGATGAAACCTGAGCACTGCCTATCTTTATGATCATAGGGCTGCCATCAGCACTTGCAGCCATCAGGTCATCTGACCTGTGATATTATTAGTCACCTTCAGCAACACTGCTGCACTGCCAGATAGAAGCGCAGCCATTCAGAGGGTCTTCACTGACTTGCAATTGGATTAGCGAGAATTAGAAGGATTATCGAGTCAAGAACTGGGATGATTTAAGTTTGATTAAGATCTCAGAGGACGACCAAAAATTATCGTAGAACTGCAAAATGAGGCAGAGGAATCAGACACACTGCTCTGCTGGAACACTGGCAGCCCCAGCACAATCTGGGGGTTTGTTCACACGAAGCCACCAGGCTTTGCCAGTGCTGCCACAAGGACAGCCATGAAATGTCTGCAGACTACGTCACAGGTTTAACCTTAACTGCATCTTGACAAGAAATCTTGAAAGAACACTGAAGAACTCTCACAGATGGGTAAAGACATTCCTCCACCTAATTTCTGAGAAAAAAATAAGGGTAATTCAAAGACAGTTCTGAGCCAGATGCTCAAATATGGACCAATCAGTGGCACTGCTGGTGCACAAAAGCTGCAGCCACATCAGGTACAAGATGTGCCACCAGACTGTGCTGGGAGGTGGTAACAGGCTGAAGAGAGCCACACAGGAGGCAATACAAGCACTGCTGTGTGTACTGACAGATGTGAAAGCAGGTATTCTAAAGCAGAGTCACATCAAAAACAAAGGAGAAGAGTACACAATGTTTTTTAGGAAAGCTTTTTGAGAGCTTGACTTTTGTTAGATTTTTTTCATTCTCCATAATATGCAAGCCATTTAGTTTACAAAATAGGAACATAACTCTGGCAGCAACTCTATGGTTATTTTCAAGAAGGTCAGGAGCTTATTTTTCTCTGGAGTGTATGATATTTGACCTCCCTCCCTGTCTCTGTTACTAGGAGGCTTGCAAGGGTCAAGCCTGAACTTTGAGGAGTTCCAAAGGGAGGCAGCAGTCAGAAGCACATGCATACATACGTACTCCTGGTTGGTTTTAAGATTGGTATGGGGCCTTTAACATCTTCAAGGCTGAGGCACTGAAAAAGCCCTAATCCTTCTAATAGTTCTTCTGCTGAACTGAAAAGCAAAACTTCTCCCCCAAAATGTGCTAGCTGGCAGAACCAAAGCCACCCCTGACCACTTCTAATAGACTCACGCAGAGATCTAATGCATCTCTCTGTGAGAATAGAGGCTTCTATTCTTCAAAAGCCTCGTGCCACAGGTTACTGTGGGGCAACGGGTTATGGCAGTCCTAGCTGAACATTCAGTTACTCAGTAGGAAGAGTGATTGGAGACAAGTCACCCAACAAAAGAGGAAAGTTTGTCTTTACTATAGGATAAGAACACACAAGTGAGATGTTGGCACAAGTCTGCACTGCAGCAATGCTACCTCATCAGTTGCAAAAGAAGCAACTTGTCCATCTGAAGCATATCAAAATCACAGCCACAGCCAGAGTTCAGCTGCTGGGAGATGCACTGTAAGAGAACCTTGGTAACACCCTGCCACCTATGAGCTCTGTAAGAAGTGTCTGAGGACCAAGGCAGTTGGTGGTCCTCAGTTACATATTTTTTCTTGATGCTGGATTTTTCTCATTTAATACTTAATACAAATTATTTTAATATCTGTTAAAAGAGCTGCAGAAGACTCCTACCATTGTGCAAAGGAGCCAGCTTCCTTGGCACATAGGCACCTTTCAGAACACCTTGTCATGAAAAGCATCTTACCCTGGTTCACAACTTATGTCAACTTCTGTGCATTTCTCTCCAGCATTAAAAGCCAGTTCAAGAACTGAAACTTCTAGAACTTCAGTTCAAGTAAAATTTGAAGAGTACTGATTTCCTTTAAAAAAAAAAAAAAAATAAAATTAAAGCAACAAGAGTTAGATCCCACTGCCACTCTAAACAACGAGAAAAAGCAAGACCAGCAGAGGAGGAAGGGTATTTATAGCTGCTTCACAGAGTGCAAGGCTTCAGGGAGCTGTGTACATGCCAAAACTGTCAACCATTTCTCAAATAGGTTACACCACTACATTGCTATGTATGTTACTCCTCCTACAGCAGGGCTCAATGGAGGCAGAGCAAGACAAATTTACTACCAAATTCCTTAAACAAGAGGGAAACGCTGTTCTATATGAAGTTGATTGGCCCTGCTTCTTAAACATTTGCCTCTGGTTTCAGGTCAGCCAGTAGCTGGCTCTGAACACTATTCTGTGGGTTAACAAGTCATATGTACCTTCAAAGATGATTTCAGATGCTTACCTGGACTTGCTGGGGTTGCTGAACCTGTATCTGCTGCTCTTGCTGAGTTTGTTGCTGGACACTGGTTGTCACAGGGCAAGCAAGTTCAAGCAAAGAGCCGGCCACCTCTGTGCTGTCCGTGTAAATGCAGTTGCCACCCTGCTGGTACACCATCGTGGTGGTGGCCGTCTGCTGAAACTCCTGCAGAGCTTCCGGCCCCTTGGAAGCCAGGGAGTCCAGGAACTCCTTCATCCTGTGCTGGGGGATCGTTCGTGCCTTCACACGGATGTATTCTTCAAAGGAAATGGTGTTCTCCAGAGAATTATTCATATTGTAAGGTCCTGAGGGTTCCTTAAGGAAAGAGAAAGTGAAAACTCTTAACTACAGTGCTCCTCTGGTGCAAGGATATTCCCAACTCCAGTAATTAGTTTCTCATACTGAGCACCACGTGAAATCGAGCAAACATGCAGGGCCAGATGCCCTGAGACAGATGCTTCAGCTTTGTGAGGCACCTCGCAGTGCTACACTCCTTTCAAACTAACCCTCAGCAATTCAGGGAAGTCTGAACGATACCATGTACAACCATGACACCTATTTCAAAGAGCTCACTGCCATGTAACACCTTCCAGAATTATACTTCACCCACACCAAGCAAGTCTCATCACAGAATAAATCAAATCACAGATCTCATTCGTTTGCAGCATGCAACGCTAGCAAGAGAAGCTCAGAAATCAATACACATGGCCCTGCTTCACAGGCATGGAGGAGGGAGAACTGAGCAGTGTGCTCTGTCAGGCCATGCAGCTCTACTCTAGGAAGCAGAACAGAAGAGCAGCAGATGCAGCATTCATCCCTCTGCTATTAGGACTAGCACAGCCCTATCGATTTGAACACAGCAAGTGAAAGGAGAGCGTTGGAATCAGGAGATTCCTCAAATAGAACTACAACACAGAGAAGCAGGGCTCTGGAAATTAAGCAGCCAACAGCAGCACTGGTTCCTGATATCTTTTCAATACAGGAAGAGGTTAACGAGAAATGTGTGAAGACAGAAGAGAGACAGAAGCAGTCAGATGATTTGGGAAAGCGAGCACAAGGAGGAAAAAAAACAAAAGATGACTACACCTGAGAACATTAGAAAGCTCTAGGGTACACATTGGCAGCGTACTTCTCTTATTGACTTAACTTGTTTGAGCCCACAAATTGTTTCAGCAGCGAGCATACTGCTTGTTTCTAAGGTACTCATTAGTCCCAATAAAGGGTAAATAGATCTGAGCTCTAACACCACCAGCTGCTGAGATGGCTGCGAAAAGACATGAAACAGCACAGCATTCAGACTAGAAGAGGAGATCTGGAATTACTGGTGGAGAAGTAGAAAAAGGGACAACATCACTGTATGCACATACTGACTGCAGTCCTTAACAGAAGTACAAAAAGCAGAGCTCTGCAACATTTCACAGTGCTTTAACCAAGCAGAACCAGGACAGAGGCTTCTGACTGAACAGAAGACCGCAACAACCGTGTGAAGATGGGAGCAAGTTCAAGGCTGTCAGTGGCGTAACCGCATTGCCAAGTCCCAGCCCAGCTCCCACCAATACCAGCAAGCCCTACGGTGCTCTCTAACCGCGCTTCACCGCTACGTGACAGCACTCTAAGCACACAGGGTTGTTTACATGGAGGAGGTTCACAGCTAGCACGTTTGACCAGGCCCACGTGAGCAAGAACGAACATCACAGGTAAGGGAACACGAGGCAACTTGCTGAATGTACAGTTTCTGGAATTACTACTTAAAACACGCATCAGTCTTCAGCAGTACAAAGCAGAACAGTGCCCACCTGCTAAATACAACAATTCTGTAGAAATCAGCATACAGAAGCTCCCACAGAGCGCAGAGCTGGACAGAGACACAGTTCTCCTACCTGTCAGTGACTCTGCTCTGACAAGTTCTCAGGTCTGCATGACAGAGCCAATAAAACTACTCACTCAGTTGCTGACTCAGCAAGGTTTCTTCCAGGAGCCACTCAAGGAAAAACTAAGCACATCTAAGCTTGATGCTCAGCTTTTCCCACTGAAGAGGCTCAGCTGATACTTTGCTCCTTTTTTTTCCCCCCCATCAACCCTATCGCAGTCATTGGACACCTGAATGTCCAAGGTGACACCAATGGGAGATTAAAGTTACTAATGCATCTTCAGGGACTTGGACAGGACCTACACTCAGCACACAATTCATCTTGCACCTAACTGTAAGAAGCTCTGGTAGACGCTCTCAAGCAGGTAAACGCATTTTGAGTTATTAACTTGTCTCAAGTTTCTATTTAGAACTTGCACATTTTCTACTTAAGTACCATGGTGAAGCTTTTAGATCAGCACAATCACAGTGCACAGCCACCTGGAGGTGCATTAGCAGACACAGCCTGCAGAGGGGAGACTTCTGGAAAGGAAGCCTCAAGGATGCCATGCCAGGAGCCCAGCAGCAAACACTAACAGCTGCTCTTTGACTTTAGTGCTGTTGATGTGACAGCCAGCTGTCGCAGAGCTGGGAGGGCTCAGCCCCTGGCAAAGACCTTCCTTACTGCTGCACTGGCACTTGTTATGCTGAAAGGGCTCAGGGAATCAATTGTGTCTTAGGAGATTATTTACTTTCTGTTAATTTTGTCGAGGGATGTCAGTAGTTATCCATTACCCCAAACAGATAAAGTTACGTCATGGAACTACACCCCATTAGGGCTCATACACTGCTTTTGGAACTCCAACCCTTCTCCTAAGAGCTGCTCATACACACATCATGCTCCTCCACAGCAGAGGCCAGAAGCTACAGAAACCCAGTTACAGAAGCAACAGGCTCAAAGATCAGCAGGAGATCCACCACCAAATCACTACCTACCTCTTCTGACCACCAGAAAGCAGAACAAATAACATGAATTTCTTACATACAGATTCTTGACCCTGCTCAGCTGCTCCATCCTAATCAGCACCACAGTCAGCCTACCATTCTGGTCTTGTGAATCTTCCCCTGCCACAAGGAACATCTCACCTAGCACAGAAAAACCCTTGTAGTTATTGGCATAAAATTACTACAGCAAGAGTCACTAACACATAAAGCACCAAGCTGCTTCTGTGAGCCTCTGCAACATGTGAAGTCCCAAGCATGGAGCAGAACCCTGCTGTGCCACGTGGTACTGAGAGCATCGTTCCTTCTCCCAGACAACAACAGGACCTTCCTTTAAACTCCAGCCAAAAGAAAAGAGCCGAAGGCACCACAGGTAACACAACAGCTTGGGATCTCTCAGAATCAGATCGTTCCCATCTACCTGAAGGCTGCTTGGTTAAATATATTTAAGAGCACTGAACGGCTCAGGCTGTGCTTCACAGCTACACACAGCAGCACAGGTACCAGAGTTAGGCGAAGATTCAGGAAAGTAACACTAACCACAGAAACCACAGCTGTTACAACTAAACTCACCCACGTTTCTGAACAGACAGAAACCTTTCAGTGCATTCAACAGGCCGAGGTTCTGCAGCACATAGCTCACTGCTGCAGCTGCCACTTTCACCAAGATATGATCCCTTGAACCATTAGACACGTGTTAGAAACAGCAAACTCCTTCTTAGGCCTCAGCAGCACATTTTTAAGCCAAAAGAGCACCCAGGCAGAACGCTTCCTTCGCTAAGTGGATGTAAGCCCTCCCTGCTCAGTACGACCCCGTCTTCCAGGAAATGAGGGCACAAAACCCTCTGAGGACCGCAAGCACACACAGTTAGTTCGTAAACTCAGCCCGAGGTTACTGAGAACACACACACGACTCGCAGCATGTGGACGATCCGGACTCACCAGTCACCATGGTGCATGTATTTCTGCTGCTCTTGTCCTGAGCTCTTAGACTTGTAACGTTCTGGAGAAGACAGAACAAAGAAGCCCTTTCCATCCCCGGTTCCTTTTTTTCTTTATTAAAACCATTTTACGTTCAATAGGCTTTGCCTCAATATGAACGGGAAGAGATCGCCGGGCTCCGGGGAAGGCGGCGATGGGACCCCTCCCTCCGCACCCGTCACGGTGGGAAGGCAGAGCTGAGAACAAGGCAGCAGCACAAGGCAGCAGCGGCAACAGCACTGACGGAGCCCAGAGGTCCCTCGGCACAAACCGCCCCGTCACCGCACCCGGCCCCACCGCCGGCCCGGCCTCCCTCCACCTGCGGCGGGGCGCCGGGGCCCTCCTTTGTTCCCCGCGGGCCCCGGGCAGCCCCCGCCGCCGCCCCGCCGCAGGAGCCACGTTTGGGCTCGGTGGGAAGGCGGAGGCCGCAGCCTTCCGGTGCGCGCTGCCGCCGCCCGAGCGAGGCGGAGGAAAGGGGGGGCGCGAAGGGGGGCGCGCCCCGCGCGGGCACGGTGAAGCCGCGCGCGCTCCCGCCGGGCGGGGCCGCCCCTCCCTTCCCCCTCCCCGCCGGGCCCGCGCCGCCCCCGGA